AGTATAAATCAAGAGGCAGCGCCCAGCCATTCATTCATTCCTGCGTGAGCCATGCGGAAGCGCTGCCACAGCGACTTGTGCAAGGAGGTCTGCAGATGAGCCCGGAGGACGCAGTGGGCTAGAGGGAGGGAGTTAGCATAGCGATAGGGTAGATGCAGCGACAGCTGCCATAGAGGTAGTTAGTAGTGAGTGTGTGTGTGTGTTCGAGTGTTAGAGTAATGCGTGTGGGATATCCAGGGTGATCCAGTGTATGTGAACAGTGAGATGTTTGGGCGCTGAAGTCGCCATAGCCAATTGAGAGTGAACTCGTATCTGAAAGCCATATATCTGATTTTTGAGTGGGCGTATGTCGCCAGTATGCTGCGTTGCTGTTTACATGCATGAAAAGTGTGTTTGAGAACAAGTCTGATTGCATTAGAGAGGTTAGTATGCATAACGCATCTGCATTGATCTCGGCGTTGGTGATCTAATCATCAGCTACTGTCGCCATGGCTGCCGAGGAGTTTGAACTTAGCACAGCATCGTCGCTGCCCTCAGGTCACCTAGTGTGCTCGAGGCTCAGCGTTCTGGCAAGCTATGGCGACCATCTGCAGGTGGTGAGGAAGAGAAGGCGCGCCTGCTCTTTGGGGGCGCAGTTCGCTTTCGCAGTAGGACGAGACTAGCGCTGAAGCAGCAGCAGGGAGCGTGGTTGCTATTGCACTCTGCACTCGTGAGGTGTGGGGAAGGAGGAGTACTGGTGGTATTATAGTTATTATTCATGCCTTCGGGGAGGTGATTTACGCGTGGTACGGGTGTGGTGTAGGGGGAATTGTGATTGGGAATGAGTGGGTATCTGGCGGCCATGGTGATGGGGCAGGAAAGTTCTGTGCATGAGTTTGCAGGCTGCTGCATGAAGGGGTGACGTGGGGGATCAGGCGAGCGGCCGTGTACTTGCGAGTGCACTCGTTCTGGGGGTTGTGTTGATGGGGGGTTCAGATGGGTTGGGTCTGTGTTGGGTTGTAGTTCTGCTGACGTCCGTTCTTTGCCTGTAGGTGGGGGGTATGGCGGGTTGTCTTATGGGTGAGCACGTGCTTCAGGTTTTGTTGTTGATGTTGCAGGTATGGTGTGTAGTGTCTGCCCCGCTATTTTCGGGGAGGCTTGTGTCATTTCAGTATGCTGCATGTGCACTGTTCCCTTTCTGTTTGTCTATTTCGTTGAGTCTTGCACTATTATTACGTTTTGAAAAAAGTTTTTTGGCGTTTTTTTGACGTTTTCGTGAGGCCTGTTTTTGGAACGAGCGTTGGGTATAGGTTCGGGGTATAGAGGTTTCTTCAAAGTTCTTTTCGTTTTTGAAAAAGGGGGATAATTTTGTTTTTTTTTGGGGGGGGGTGAAGTTTGCGTGGTTGGGGTGTGGATTTTTTCAATTTTTTTTGTGAATGTCCTGCTCTGTCGTGGGTCAAAGTTTTGGGTCTGTTTTGTTGTTGTCTCGGTATGTTACCAGTGGCTGGAAATGTTGTTTTTTTAACTTAAAAAAAGTTTTTTAACTTTTTTTTTTTTTTTTTTAATGTGTGTGTGTGTGTGTGTGTGTGTGTGTGTGTGTGTGTGTGTGTGTGTGTGTGTGTGTGTGACAGGGCTGAGCGTGTTTTTTTTTGGGGGGGGGGCTGATTTTGGTTTTGTGGGTTTTGGCTGCTATGAAGTTGCTCGTGCTTTGGTTCGTGGTGGTGTTGTGGGGAATGGAAGAGGTTCTGGTACGCAGATGGTGTAAGTTGGGGGATGGTGGGTGGGACTAAGTCGCATATGCTCCGATGTACGGCGGGGGTTGGTGGGTGGGACGGATTCGTTATGTTACGCTGAGGGTGTAAGGCGGTGGTTGGTGGTGGGACTAAGTCGTTCTGCTACGTTGAGGGTGTGTGGTAAGGGATGGTGGGTGCGACAACGATAGTATGTTGTGACGAGGGTGTAAGGTGGAGGATGGAGAGTGGGGCGGGCCAAGGTACTATATTACGCTGAGGGTGTAAGGCGGTGGGTGGTGGGAGGGACAGTCGCCACTTTGTAGTCGTTATGAGGTATTTGTGTGGGAGAGCGTGTGTGATGTGCCCGAGTTTGCTGGGCGTTAGTTTTGCTGACTTTTCGGCGGTTCTGGTTGTTTTGTCATATGTTCATGTGTGTGTGTAATGTCAGTGTGTGTGTGCATTTGTGCTTGATAGTGGGTGTATGTTTGTGTGTCTAAACTTCTAAAGGTGTAAGTTTGTGTGTATATAAGTGTGTATGTAGGTATGTGTGTGTCTTTCTAAAGGTGTAAGTTTGTGTGCATATGTGTAGATGTAGGTGTGTGTGTGTGTGTGTGTGTGTGTGTCCCTCCTGCATTCCCACGTGATCGGAGTCTGGAGGGGTCGAAGGTACGGATGACAACCTTGCCCCTTCGGGGAGTCGCCATCCGTACCAGACCATCTTTCGATGATCCACGTACACGATGTTCAGAAGAGATATAAGAAGTGCTTGAGGGTTGTGTTAGGGTTGCATGAATGGTTGGTAGGGGGTGATGTCTTCAAGGACCATTTTTAATTATGCCCTTACACTTGTGGGGGTTGAATCCGTTACTAGTTATTGTGTGTAGAGTGTCTACCAGATCTTCTGCTGCACAGGTTGGGCGTGTTATGACCGTCATAATGTTGATTGTTTGTGGGATGAGGACTTTGAGTCATTGGAGTGTCGGTCTGTTGGAGTCATATTTCAGGAACCTGTTGATGGGGAAGTTGAGTTCCTTCCTTTTGTCATATTTTGTGGTTTCGTATGTGCCAATTGTGTCGTCTGTGCTGGTGATTGAGGCCTTGAGGAAGTTGCACTTGGTGCCAATGATCTGGTTGCCGATTTGTGTGCTTTTTGTTGTCTGTTTGTTGAGTGTGACGAAGTTAAGGGGGTATAAGTAATATTTATTGCGTTTGCTTTTGATCTCTGGGTTGCTGAATTCGAGAATTATGGGGTTGTTTATGCAGTTCAAGTGATCAAAGTATCTAAAGCTGTGTTGGAACAGGGGTGACAGGTGTAGGTTTGCTGCCAAGCGTAGTTTTTTCATGAATTTATATTCGTAATTTCATAGGGAAAAAATAGATATTGCACCACATGGGTGAGCAGCTCAGACCCATTGGGATTCCGAGTGTTTGTTACCATGTGCCCCCCCCACGTGTTGTGTGTGCATTCTTCATTAGCCAGCTATTCATGTTTTTGATAAGTGCTGAGGTGAGCATTGTATTGTTGGAGTGGTTGACAAACGTCTAAGATACATCCATTCGTAGGTCGTTGTTGGTGTGCCAGATGTTGCAGACGATGCTGGTATTTCTCCCTTAGGTTTTCCGTGCCTCTTTGAAGGCAAGATCGATGAAGAAGTTGATTACTGCGGGTAGGCCGTCTTCTGAGTCATCTGTGGGGATAGTTTCGTAGCATCTTGTAATATCTTCTGAGTAGATATTGTGTATGTAGGGGGGTAGATTGTAGATATAATCAGCTATGGAGTCTACTACCCACCAAAGGGGACTTTGACTCTGAGTTCTTGCTCAGTGGTTCTCGTGAGATCCCCGCAATGTTTTTTATTTGTTTGGGCTAATTTTTTTAGGGTGGCTGCGCATATGTCAGCCAGGGGGGAGAAGAGAACGTCGGCGGTGTTAGTTAACCATCTAAATGTGTTTTTGTGTTTCTTGTACGTGGCCATGAGGTAGGGGAGTTCCGTGTGGATTTCAATCTGGTTTCTTAAGTTTCTGACAAGTTCTGCAGTTGTACATTCGCAGGGGGTAAAATCAGTGCCAGTGAGCCTCCACAGCGCCAGGTATCTCATAAAGTTGATACAAATGAAAGTGGGGGTGTTAGGTGCTTTGTCAGCACCCAAATTGTAGAAGTGTTGGGTCAAGAATTCAATATCGTTTTTCATGCTTGGACGTTTGGGGTTATAGGTCGCTGGTCTGACCTGATTCTTGCAGTTTTGTCTCACAATCTGCTTAAGTTTTTATTGTGCAGATGTTTGTTGATCTGCCACGATGATTGTGCTATCTTGGTTTATGATTTCAATGGTTTTGTCGAGTGCGGTACGGCATTCTATGTGGATCTGGTGCGGGTTGTATGGTTTTAGTGGGATATGGTTGATGCCATTTTTAATTTGTTTTCTTAACTTTGGATTAGAGATTATGTTGGTGTTTAGGGTCACAACATGGGGTAGTACAGAGCCGTCTTCGCATTCACGGATGAACTCCCTGTATCTGTTATGCTGGCAGAAGCATGTTTGTCTTTGTGAGTCATATAATTGGGTAAGGTCTATGTACTTCTCTCACATTCGTGTTCCTTGCAATTTGGTATCGGAGCTGGTTCGATTTGCCGCTTACCTTGCGCGCTGGCGGCATACAAACTTGGTGCGTTGACGATGCTTCTTCGCAGTTGGTTCTTGTGACGTCAGGCGAAATAGCACGCGACCCGGGTAGAGGGGTGCGTGCTGGAAGGCTATACAGCTTGGGACGCTGTGGCGACAGCGGAATGTATGTATGGTGATGAGAGCATGCTGATGTGGCAGTTGGCTGAGGTGGCACTGCATTGCGTTGTGGGTGGTACCGAGGCTACGACCGGTCATCAAATGCACATTCAGCTCAATTGGTGAGAAATCTGTGGTTGGGGGCAGCTATCTTCAGGTACGTTGTTTCCTTACCTTTATCTACCCTCTCAATCTCTTCTTACCGCGAGGAAGTGAGTCCAACTTGAGAGTCCTCTCTTTTTGGTGAGGTGTCGTGAGCGCTCTACCTTGAGAGACGACAGTCTTCCTGGTGGCGCATCTGGAAGGAGAAAGGGGCGGTGCCTCTGAACGGCCCTGGTCGAAGCACATGGGTCACTGTCACCATGCCAACCCAATGGGATTAGTACACTCATGCGACGGCTGCTTTGTCCATTAAGGCTCTTTGTTGCGCTGATAGAGGGATGCGCGGACTGAACAGGCTTATGCAGGCGCTCCCAGACCGTCTATAAACATTTCTAGTTGGGGTTCCGAACTGTCCACTGGCTGTGATCGTCGTCCTGTTTGCGACGTTTAATAATTCCTGAGGACCTTGGGGGCTGTCCTTAAATTGCCTCTTGATCAGCCAGATCAGTCGGACGTACGGCTCGTTGCACGCGAGGATAAATAACGGGCAAGACTGGTCATAAGCATACACCTGGGGCGCAAGGGTGGGCCGACATTGCACACCTAAGACACTGCTGCTCAATGATGCTCATCGATATGTTGGATTGAGGGGAGGGTAGGTTCCAATTGGTGCTCAACTGTAAACACAACCATTTCCACTCTTCATACATCTACAACATAATTTTGTTTTATTTTTTATTAGTTGGTTGACAGACTGCTAACACCTCACAAACAACTTAGTTTAGGACTGTTGTATACTACCATAGCCAGTTCTATGCAAAGCTTCTATAAGTGAAATAATCTGGATAAAATTAGATTATGTGTATAGTCTTTGTGTATGTTGTAGGCTGCCACTTGATCGGTTAAGTAGGGGACCTTCCGGACACATTTATTTTTAGAAAATTAGGTGTCGGTCAGACACATGCTGTGGTAGGACTCCAGCAGGGAGTTGTAGTGCAGATGGTGTTTGCCTAGCTGATGAGTGGGTCAGACTTGGATGAGGGTAGAGTTGACGATGCGAGGCTGACACGTTCGAGATCACGTAGGGTCCCGTACGTGTTTCAGTTCCTATAGTCGGGAGACGAAAGACGGCTTCGTGTCGAAGTTAAAGCCCGTGCTTACGCAGCAGCCGGGGGAGCAGCACTAACTGCAAGACAGGCGTTAGCAGCAGCAAACGCCGCAGCTAGGGAACAGGCAGCAGCGGCAGCCAGCGCAACAGCAATGGCTGCCGCCACAACATCCTCTGCGGCATCCTCGTCTGGGACTCAGTTGGGGATGCCCCATGGGCCCACGGGTACTTCCGGATCAGTAGGTTCCAGTCACTCCACTAGTCAAATGGCGGGCTCACAGTTCAGTCCGTTGACCCCACGCGGGAGGGAGCTACAAGAGCTCCAACAAGTTGAGAGGATCCGCACACGGTTAGAGAGGGAACTGAAGCAAGCTACCGATAGAGAAAAAATGAGATTAGAAATAGAACAGCCAGGCTAGATACGTTAGAGGCAGACAAAGCTGCGTTAGAGGAGTTAGATGAGTCAACAATGACCGCCGCAATGAAAGTGTTAAGGTCCAGCGTATTGTCACTGCATGCGCATGTAGACAGCACATGCAGAACTCCTTGGACCAAATCTTGGACCTTTTGCAAAGGCCAGGATTACGGCCAGCAGCACAGTCGCCGTTGCCGTTGACGGCGATGTCAGGCCCCTTTCCGGTACAAGCTGACACACAACCAAGTGGTACGTCTGCAGCAGCCGCATAGACTGTTGCTTCTACTTATTCTGGTCCAGCGGTTGGAGCTACAACACAGCCGCAACAATGTGTTCCACCTCAGGGACAGCAGCAAAGTCCATGGTACCCAAAGACCCCGATGAAGCCACCCCTTACTTTCTCCGGTGAGAAGAAGGACGAGGAACTCAACACTTGGTTGAGGACGGTTCCGATGTGGGTGAGGGTAAAGAGGACGATGCAGGAGGAGGAGGTGATTATTGCTGCATCTTACCTTGAGGGTAAGGCAGCCAAATGGCTGGATGGGATAGTAGCTTGCCGGGTTCGGACGACGCATGGCAGATTGGGGTAAAACCCTCACGTTAGAAGAGTTTTTGGATATGGTAGAAGCTCGCTGGCATATCCGCAGCAAGCACAAATTGTCACTGACGCGGTGCTCAGATTGGACCTGCGAAGGTACAAGTCTGTCAAAGAGCTGACGTCTACCGTAGAGAACCTCATTGTCGTTCCCGGCATATGCTACGATGACCAGGTCTTATTCACCATGTTTCTGAGATGTCTGTCGGAGAACCTCAGGACCTTACTGGCCAGTGAGGCTCGCCTCGAGTATCATTCCTTTGAGACCTTCTCTAAAAAGGCCTTAGACTTAGAGGCTACTCTAGGAAGTGCTCAACCTACTCCAGTAGACGGGAGGAAGAAGAAGAGTCCACAGGAATGGAAAAAGGAGGGTAGTAGATTGATGATGGTTGAGTCCGATGGGACTCAAACTGAAATCGAGGAACTCACCGACCTGATGGACGACTCAGAGTACGACGACGAGGAAATCGCTGAGGGTAGCACCCTTGCCGCATTAGTCAAGGTAAAGGCAGGTGGCCGCGGTAAAGGCGGTCATCAAAAGAGTCAAGGGCAGGCCGCCTCCAATCAGTCCAAAGTAGTAGATTGGGTCAAGGCAGGTCTTGATCAGGAAGTGTGGCGGGACCGCTGAATGCGTGGTGCTTGCATCAACAGTGGTGAATATGGACACACCCAGTATAAGTGCAAGAACGCAAAGGTCACGCAGAAGATACCCCCTAAGGGAGGGGTGCCTTCTTCCCAGGCTGGGACCAGCTCCAACTCGGGACACACTTGAGGCCGGTGGAAGTTTTAGTTGTTTCTCCTCATGGTGAAGTGGGACAGATACCCTCCCCACTTCATGAGATGGCCACAACCAATGACTCTTTAGTCACCCCGCAGACACACCCAGACCAAACCATGCCCTGTACGTTGGATGTTTCTGAAGCCTTAGAGGACTTACAAAGCGAATGGTCGAATAGTGATCCACGCGAGTCCTGGGTGGCACTAAGTGCAGGTCCTGGAGGGGAACATTTCGTAGTGGAGGTTGCTGTAGGAAGCCGCAAATGTGGTGCTTTCGTAGACATCGGCTCCACCCGAAATTTTATAAGTCGTGACTGTTTGGAAAGGCTGCGTCTAAAGGACCGGGTGCAGCACCTTAGTAGACCGGTAGCATCTACTTTGGCCAATAAGGAGCGCATGGTTGTCTCAGACTACGTCAAAGATGTAGTCTGCACCTTCTCCTATGGAGGAGGGGAGCTGAATCATAAGAGTTTGCTCCTGGTTAGTGACGACTTACCATTTGATATGTTGTATGTTGTTAGGAATGTACTACCTTGAGATTGCCAAGGCCCAGTTCGACTGGGACAAGAAGGTGCTCAAGCATGAGTTGCCTGATGGGAGGACCGTGAGACTGGCCACGTACAAGGTTAGTAGGAAAATAGAGTCCTATGGGTGCTTATGTGCATCTGCGTTCTACAATTATTATAAACAGAACCAAGAGGAGGGTATGTACCTAGTCTATGTCTCTGAGAAAGGGGAGGCCGTAAAAACAACCCCAAAGATAGACCATTCCCTGATCTGTTTGAGGAACCTACAGGAGTCGTAGATGGGGAGATTGTCCGCGCCATAGAAATCATTCCAGGGAGTAAAACCCCAAAGGGAAGGATCTATAGAATGGTTCCGGTCGAGTTGGACGAACTTCGGCGACAACTGAAAGAGCTCACCGAGAAGGGATGGATACTGTCTAGTACGTCCCCCTTCGGATCACCAGTGTTATTTGTACCGAAGAAGGGGGGGTCGTTGAGGATGTGCATTGATTATAGAGTCCTCAATGCCGTCAATGTGAAGAACGCTGAGCCTCTACCACGCATTGACGACCTATTGGCTAGGGTGCAGGGATGTAAGTACTATACCAAGATAGATTTCAAATCCGACCATCATCAGATTGCCATAAGACCTGAGGATCGACACAAAACCGCATTTTAGACCAGGTACGGTCTGTACGAGTTTATGGTGATGCCCTTTGGCCTTTGCAATGCGCCGGGTACATTCCAACACACCATGAATAGGATTTTCCATGACTATCTAGACAAGTTTGTCGTCGTGTACCTCGACGATATTATGGTCTTCAGTAAGTCTGTCGAGGAGCATGCACAACATTTAGAGATTGTTCTCTCACTCCTGCGGCAACACAAGTATAAGGTCAACTTAGAGAAATGCGAGTTCGGACGCACTAGGATCTTGTACTTGGGTCATGAAGTATCCGCGGAAGGGATTAGGCCGGAAGATGCGAAGGTGGCTAGTATAAGGGACTGGCCACGACCTCAGACCGTTACTGAGGTCAGATCTTTCTTAGGAATGTGCGGTTACTATAGAAACTTTGTGAAGAACTACACAATCGCCTCTTCTTTGACTGATCTAACTCGACTTGACACACCATGGGAGTGGAGTGATGAGTGTGAGGCTGCTTTCAAGCGATTGAAGCATGCCCTCATGAATCATGAGGTTCTCATGGTGCCCGATCCCCAGAAGCCATTCATTGTTACCACTGACGCAAGCCAATATGGCATTGGCGCAGTGCTAGCTCAACAGGATGGGAAAAGTTGAGACCGATTGAGTACATGAGCAAAAAGATGTCATCCAAAAGGTTGGCGAAGTCCACCTACGAGAGAGAACTCTACGCCTTGTATAAGTCACAATCCATTGGAGACACTTTCTGTTGGGTAGGTTCTTCTATTTGAGAACTGACCATCAGACGCTGAAGTGGATAAAGACACAACCTGTTCTCTCCGATGCCCTCAAGCGATGGATTGAAGTCATAGAGCAATATGACTTCAAAATCGATTACTTGAAGGGGGAGTATAGCAAGGTTGCTGACGCATTGTCTTGTAGGGCAGATTACCTTGGGGCTTTAGTCACTGAATTCAACATTTCTGACGATGTGACTCGATCACTGGAGGAAGCCTATCGGGAAGACCCTGTCACGATGGACATCATTCGCAAACTGCAGGCCAAAGACAAGGGCACAAAAGAAGAGTTTGTGATGGTGGATGGGTTGCTCTTTCTGAGAAAGGCTGGGATTGAAAGATTAGTTGTTTCATCTAGGGAGAATTTGCGCAGTTTATTTTTAGGTGAATGCCATCATGCAATCGGACATTTCGGCTACAAAAAGACCAGTGTCAATTTAGTACAGCGATTTTGGTGGCTCGGTATGCTAGATGATGCAAAGAAGTATGTGCAGATCTGCCAGGTCTGTCAGCAGGATAAACCGCGAACTCAAGCACCGCGTAGGTTGCTGAAGCCCTTGCCCATTCCCGCTGGTCCGGGACTGAGTGTTTCCATGGATTTCATGGACACCTTGGTAACCAGCAGGAGTGGCAAGAGGCACATCTTTGTCATCATAGATAGATTCACCAAGTACGCTAGACTGATTGCCATGCCGGAGACTACGAGGACTGAGCACGTCATCAAGTTGTTTATGGACAACTGGGTGCGTGATTTTGGATTGCCAAATTCAATCGTTAGTGACAGAGTTGTCCGCTTCACAAGTGAGTTGTGGAAGAAGACTGCTGAGCAAATGGGAAGTCAACTTCAGATGACTTCTGGGAATCATCCCGAAGCCAACGGACAGGCCGAACAGATGAACAGAGTTGTGCAACATCTGCTGAGGCATTACATTAAGCCCAACCAGGATGACTGGGATGAGAAATTGCCTCTCATCGCCAGCCTGTACAACAACATTGTGCACAACACAACCGGCGTTAGTCCTAATCAGCTGCACTTGGGATGGAAGCCTAGATCCGCTCTAGACTTCCTCCTGCCTGAAATACGGGGTGCAGTATGAGAAGTTGCCACAGCAAGCTGTCGAGCACATCAAGAAATTTCAGGAAACAATGATTGCCTCTGAGAACAAACATCGTCGACCGTTCACATTTCAGGTAGGGGAATGTGTTTGGGTTAAGGCTAGTGAACTAGGACAGGAATTCGGAATCTCTCGTAAACTAATGCCACAGTATTTCGGTCCCTGGGAAGTCTTGGATGTAGTTGGGGATGATTTGGATGGTCCCTCCTATGTTATTCGAATCCCTGGTCACCTGCGCACTTACCCTGTCTTCCACGCCTCAAAGCTTGCACCTTTCGCTGAGACAGCTCAGTTTCCATCTAGGAGATCAATGCTAGCCCCAACCATGGACGGCCATGTGGACATCGACAACATTCTGGAACACAGAGACATGCCTGTTCCAAAACCTCTGGGTAGAGGGAGACCTCCAAAACCTAAGAGAGAATACAGGGTCAGATTCAGGCATCACACAGATCCGAAAGAAGATCGATGGTTCACCAGACTGGAACTGGTTGAGACAGCACCTCAGGTGGTGGCTGAATATGAAAGAAAGTCAAAGGGGAAGGCACCTGCGAAGTAAGCATCTCAACAGACTTTCGAAGCGAAGGGGGATGGAATGTGAGGATTGAGCTCTCATTGGGGCCTTGCCGACATGCATATGTTCTGGGCTAAGGGCCCCAGCAAGCCTCATGCCCGCCCTAAGTGAAGGCGGGCCAGAACATCCACGAGAGGCCTTTCTTTTCTTCATTTCACGAAGTGGGTATCAGACAGTTGCAGCACGCCAGTTGGTTGGAGTGCATCGTGAAGCCCAGACTCCTGCAGAAGCAGTCGAGCCCAGGGCCTCAGTTGGTTGAGCCCTGGGCACAAGCCAGGGGAGGCCGACACATCACACATTGGACGCTGGCCAATCGAAAACCGGGTTGTCGTCATAGAGGCCGAGCGTGCCAATGGGAAACCGGCCCGCTATCTGAATCTGGACATCGGCCCTGGGCTGATGGGTGCAACTGTAAAGTCTGGGCCCCATTTGCATTGGGCCTGGGCGCAGATACCGGGCCCCAGTCGCAGGCTACAGTGAGCCGCACACGCGCCTACCACGGCATATAGGCAGTCTGGGCGCAGGGGCAGGGATCTTGGCCAGTGCGGCATTGTCGGCACGCTGCATTGTGTAGTGAGCGCGTGCATGCTGCGCTAGGTGGTCAAGCGCGCTAGCGGGTGCAGAGGTGTGGGACGCTGCAGGGCAGCGAGCGCCGGCAGCCGTAGCCGGGCTGCAGGGCGCAGTGAGAGGTAGGGAGGCGAAGGTGGTCTTCGGGAAGGAGGCACGAGAGTGGGGAGACGGGATAGGAGTGGGGAGCAACAGAGGTACTTACATGGCGTGCAGAGAGGAGGTCGCCATTGGTGTTGACGTCAAGCACGCTGGTCTTCAAGTCGTCTGGTTGTGATCATGCTGTAGTTGTAGCTGTAGGGAGTAGTGTAGGTAGGGCGCCAGCACCGTTCAGAGAGAGAGCTACATTGGGTTCTGATGTTGGTGTGGCCCTACGGGCTGGGACATTGACCTCACGGTTCTGCTGTATCATTCTCATATGAATGGTTTCTTGGTTCCAATGTGCTATCTGCTCTTTGTTTGACTACTTGGACTTCAGCGTGATTTGCAATTTGGATTTCTGTACTTCGCTCACATTCATGTTCCTTGCACTTTCCATCAGACTGAGTCTGTTTATATCATGTATGTGGATAATCTTTCTGCGATGTTTTGTCGGTCTTCTCCATCCAAGTCGCTCATCTTCCATGACATGTAGCTGGTTGACCTGGTTTGGGATCACAGACAGTTGATAGGGTTAGTGTTGTTATTAAAAGTTATTTCGTTATGGAATCAATATAAGTGATTCCGTCCCTTCTTCCAGGTTTTGTGGTATGTTTTTGGTTTTATCTGTTGGTTATTTTGAGTGGTTTGCTGTGGGGTTGTCGAGTAGGTCTTTGTTTGTGAGGGGCAAGTTTTTGTGGTTGTCTAGTTGCTCATAGTAACGAGTTGAGAGTTTTTTCTGTAAACATGATGGGGTTTGGTTGTCTGGTGTTGTGTTTTTGGGCTATTGGCCTGATTCAGAAGTGTTTTCGTCTGCAACTTGGTGTCTATTAGATTACTTGGTTCATTTTGAAACGGATTCCACCTTCGCTGTAGCCGATGCAGATCCCAGGGCTCGATCCCTAGTCCTTACCCTACCTGTGTACGGTATCTGTGTCGACCCCAGGAGTTGAACCCATGACCTGTGTCTTTCCCCACAGTTGGTAGGTTGTCGTAGGTCTGTAGGTTATAGGGGTTCGGTCTGTAGACCTGTCGGATAGGAGTCTTAGTGAGTTCTAGAAGTCGTAGCTGTAGCTCCTCCGAAGGGTCAAGGTCGTAGCTGCTACAGTCCTGAAGGGTCAAGGTCGTAGCTGCTACAGTACCGAAAGGCCAAGTCCACAGTCTTCCGGAAGGTCCGGAAGTGGCCTTTCGGGTACTGCCCACAGTAGACCGAGGCAAGTGGGCAAGTGGCGAAGTCCACCCGTGCTGATTCAGCGGTACCCAGTCCCAGTCAGTCTCAGTCCAGTCAAGCAAGTACCGTGTGGGACTGTGTGCACCAGGGGCATGGGGAAGGGGCAGACCAACGAGCTACAGAAGTATAAAGCAAGAGGCAGCGCCCAGCCATTCATTCATTCCTGCGTAAGCCATGCGGAAGCACTGCCACAGCGACTTGTGTGAGGTGGTCTGCAGTATGCCCGAAGACGAAGTGGGCGGGAAGGAGAGCTTAGCCATAGCGATAGGGGTAGCATGTGTGTGTGCATGTGTGTACAGTGTGACGCGTGTGGGATATCCAGGGTGATCCTGTGTACGTGAACAGCAGACTTGGGTTGGCGAACGGAGAGTTGTACAGGCGCTGCTGCGCCATAGCCATTTGAAGTGAGCTTGTATCTGAACTGCGCTCTTGGTTACCATATCTCTGAGTTCTGAGTGGGCGCTTGTCGCCAGTTTGCTGCGCTACCTGTTTACATGCATGTGAGTTGTGAAAGAAAGCGAGTCTGATTGCAATTTGGTAATGTTGCTGGTTATTTTAGTGGTTTGGGGAGCGTTGTGATTTGTGGTGTTTGTGAGGTTAGGTGTTTGATAATAGTTATCGTTTATAGGGGGGGGGGGGTGTCTTTTTGTTATAGTCACTATGGGGTGATGAGTTTTATCGTTTTAAGTTTTTTTTTTGGGAAACTTGGAGGAGTAGTTTTAGGTGGCTAGGGGGGGGGGTGCTTATGCTAAGGTTTTTGGTTAGTTGGCTTTGATGGGTTGTTTGTGGGCTTGTTTTGGATGGGGGTTTGGTTTTTGGATGCTGTTATTCTGTGGTTGTTGTGGGTGTTGTGGGTGTTGTGTGAGGATTTAGCGTTTATGATGTAATTGCGTACTTGTATTTGTATTTGGGTAGTGTAGGTTCAGGGGATATTCATGGGCTGGAGGAGGAAGGGGATCAAAAGAGCAGCTGCCTGAATTTCCTTGGTTGCGCAGTGGCCGAAAAAGGGCCCTGTGGGCCTCGTCGAGCCTGCCTTCACTTAGGGCGGCCAACGGTCTGTATAGCAGGGCCAAAAAGGGGGTCCATAAAGGCTCTAGCCTCGCATTCCCTCCTCCACATCTTCGATAGTCCTCTGAGAAGATCAGTCTTCAATGATCTGGCGCTTTCCCTTCTGCAGAGATTTCTCATAGTGGGCTACGACCTGAGGAGCGGTCTGCATGAGTTCCTCCCGAGTAAACCAGCGGTCCTCCTTTGGATCTGTGTGATGTCTGAACCGGACTCGATACTGCAGTTTTGGCTTCGGAGGACGTCCTCTGCCTGTGGGCTTCTGCACTGTCAGCTCCTTGTGATCTACGATGTCATCGATGTCCACCTCTCCATCCATGGTTGGGGGCAGCATTGAGCGTCGCGAGGGAAACTGATCGGTTTCCTCGAATGGTGCAAGCTTAGAAGCATGAAAGACTGGGTAGGTAAGGAGGTGACCAGGGATCCGGATAACATAGGATGGCCCATCCGGATCAGTCCCAACAACATCCAACACTTCCCAAGGCCCAAAGTACTGGGGCATGAGTTTTCTGGGAAATCTCGTGCTCTTGTCTCAGTTCTGAGGACTTAACCCAGACCCTATCCCCAACCTGAAAAGTAGAAGGACGGCGGTGTCTGTTCTCAGACTCGATCATTGCCGCTTGTGCCTTCTGCATCTGTTCTACCGCCTGCTGCATTTTTTGTTCATACCTATAGGCAAATTCTAAGGTGTCCGGTGCAGCAGTTGACTGAATCTTAGGCAGGAGAAAGTCTAAGGGCAATCTAGGCTTGAAGGTCAGTAGTAGACTGTTTGGGCTCACCCCGGTGGCGTTGTGTATGGCGTTGTTATACAGGCTGGCGATGAGGGCGAGCTTCTGATCCCAGTCCACCTGGTTGGGCTTAATGTAATGCCTCAACAGGTGTTGTACAGCGCGGTTCAGTTGCGCGGCTTGACCATTGGCCTCTGGGTGATTCCCAGAAGTCATTTGCAACTGTGTCCCCTGTTCAGCAGCAGCGGCCTTCCACAGCTCACTAGTGAAACGGACATCCCTATCACTGACTATGGACTTGGGCATACCAAAATCCCTAACCCAGTTCTCTTTAAACAATCTGATGATGTACTCGGTCTTTGCTGACTCCGGCATGGCTTTAACCTAGCATATTTGCTAAACCTATCCACGATGACGAAGATGTGTCTCATGCCGCTCTTGTTGGTGACCAGCGTATCCATGACAGGCTCTCACCTGGCCTTTCCGGAATCGGAAGGGGCTTCAGGAGCCCAAGAGGAGCCTGAGTACGTGGCTTGTCTCTTTGACATACCTGGCAAGTCTCCACGTACAGTTGGGTGTCTCGCATCATCGTGGGGCCACCAGAACCGCTGCAGCAAATTGGCTGCGGTCTTCTTATACCCAAAATGTCCGGTGGCATCATGACACTCACCTAAAAACAAACTACGCAAAGAATCGCTATTAGGAACACACAGTCGTTTATTCCCTGCCTTCTCAAGAAACAGCAAGCCATTGGCCAACTCAAACTCGGCAAAAGTTGTCTTGTCCTTCGTCTGAAGTCTGCGATTGATCTCAGACATAAACTGGTCCTCTTGATAGGCTTCCACCAAAGAGCGAGTAACATCGTCCTTCAGATCGAACTCAGTAATTAGCGCACCTGAGAAGTCAGGTCGACGCGAAGTCATACTGCTCAATGACTTCGATCCAACGCTTCAAAGCATCAGAGAGTACCGGATGAGTTCTCATCCATCTCAGTGTCTGATGATCAGTTCTGAGGATGAAGAACCTCCCAAGGAGGTAGTGTCTCCAATGGGTCAGTGCCTTGTACACCTCATAGAGTTCCTTCTCATAGGTTGACTTTGCCAACTTCTGAGACGACATTTTCTTAGACATGTACTCGACTGGCCTCAACTTTGGCCCCTCCTGTTGCGCGAGCACGGCGCCAATGCCGTATTGGCTGGCATCCGTGGTGACTAAGAACGGCTTGTCAGGATCAGGAAGTTTCAAGACCTCGTAATGCGTCAACGCATTCGTCAGATGTCTGAAAGCAGCCTCGCACTTATCTGTCCACTCCCATGGGGTGTCAAGGCGGGTCAAATCAGTCAAAGGAGTGACCACTATGCTATAGTTCTTAACGAAAGTCTTATAGTAGCCTGTCATTCCTAAGAAAGATCTCATCTCAGTCACAAATTGAGGACGTGGCCAATCACGAATGCTGGCCACCTTCGCGTCATCAGGCTTTAACCCTTCCGCGGATATCTCATGAGCCAAGTACAAGACACGGGTGCGGCCAAACTCGCATTTCTCACCGTTGATCTTGAACTTGTGCTGTCGCAGGAGACTGAGGACTTTGTCCAAATGTGTGACGTGCTCCTCGACAGTCTTACTAAAAATAACTATGTCATCGAGGTACACGATGACAAACTTATCCAAGTACTCATGGAATATCCGATTCATAGCGTGCTGAAAGGTGCCAGGAGCATTGCACAGGCCGAAAGGCATCACCACAAACTCGTACAGACCGTACCTGGTCTGAAAGGCGGTTTTGTGTTGATTCTCAGGCCGGATTGCAATCTTATGGTACCCGGACTTCAGATCTATCTTACTGAAGTACCGACACCCTTGCACTCTATCTAGCAAATCGTCGATGCGCGGTAGGGGCTCTTTGTTCTTGACAGTGATGGCATCAAGGCCCCTATAGTCAATGCACATCCTAAGTGTACCCTCCTTCTTCTTAGGTACGAATAGTAATGGAGATCCATAAGGAGAGACACTCGGTCGGATCCAACCCTTCTCTACGAGTTCCTTGAGTTGGCGGCGAAGTTCATCGAGCTCGCCTCGAGACATCCGATAGATCATTCCTTTGGGATACTAGACCCTGGGATAATTTCTATCGCGCCACGACACCCGATGATCTGATCATCCGACGTCATGGGGACAAAAAAACACTAAAATGTTGTTCTTTTGTATGCTCAATTTCGTGAATTTAGAACAAAATGTCAGGTTTAACGAAATGTCAGTTTCTCTTTGGCATCGTCGTTGTCGTTGTCCATCAGTTCCTGGTCCTAGTCTTTGGGGTGGGATGATGTGTTGGCCCCCTCGTCCTCTTTTTTCTTGCGTCCTTCTCCGTCCCTGAGGCCACTGTTCTCTATGTCCATGACCTCGTCTGAGGCGGTGTGCGGTTTGCCCCCACTTAGCTTGTCCTCTTCCATGTTGTCCTTGTGCGTGAATGGCTTGTTGATATGGTGGACTCCGTATTGTTCCATCTTTCTGGCCCCTGTCTGCCTCCAGCGACCGTCATACAGCGGATACAGCTCTGGTGCCACAGACAGTGCTTCTTGCAATGTCCACACCCGTCATGGTGTCTCCAGGTTGTCGTCGAAAATCCAGCCTCGGTAGTGGGGGTGGTTCACGTACCACACCCCGACTTTCCTTTCACATTCGACTAGCTAGGCCTGGTTGGGCACTTGTTTCCTCCCTGCTGCTTGGCTGGCTGGGCAGGTCGGGTCATTTCCCAGGTGGGCTTGGCCCCTGCATCAGAAGCATGCTGGATTGGTCTTCGTGGAAACAAACACCTTTGCCCTTTGTTCGTTTTTGCGGAAGAGCCACACCGCCGGGAATGCTAGAGGTTCGCCCGAAGGGACGCTGAGACACGCGATTCTGGAGTAATGGTTGGGGGCGAGAAACTCTGGTCCAGCCTCCAGCCATGCCACCACCGGATTGTTGGGATATTCGACTTCCAGTCGCTTGTGGATTATGTTGTGCAGTCCTTCCGACAGTTTCGTCGGTGCTAGTCTGTGTACAAAGTTCTACCAACATGGAAGTGCCAGTCTGTCATTGTCTTATTCGGTGCCTAGATTCTGTCTGATGGACTTGTGGTTGGAGTATCTGCATCTTCATCATCTTTGGCTTATGTGGCTGATCCTCTGAGTCTTCGATTCCAACGTTCTTGAAGATGTGTCCGAAGCTGCCGACGGCTCTGATCAGTGTATCCGGAGATGGGGAGCTGACATCAATTGGAGTCTGCACTGGTTCCTTGTTGTATCATTTGGTCCGACACGTCGATGACTTGCTGCTGCGTGCTGGCTTGGAAGAGATGGCCGAGGACCTGTTCTCATGGCGGGAGTCAGCTTGGATTGGAGTTTGTTGTGTCAATCTGCTGCAGTGTGCGGGCCAAGGTGAGGGCGACAGGGAATGTGGTGGCAGTGGGGAGGGGGAGGAGTCGGGGTTTGATGGCGATTAACGCATGAGCAATGAGTCATTGGGCTTACGTGCGCAGGCTGGGTGTGCTCTGATTTCTGTTCTTGCAAGGTCTTGCAGCATTCTGGCGGGCTGTGTTTCTGCGTGGTCCGTTGTTCTTCCTGGTTCTCTTGGCCGGGGGAACGTCTTGCTCTGGGGGAGCATCTTGCTCGTCGTGATGTCCGAGGGCACATTTGGATCAAAGAAGTCCACATTTGCAATGTAGTACCACAACGTCTGATTGAACCATGTGATCATCTTGCCGCAGTTCTTGGCGCAGGTGCACTTGAGATACGGCCGGATGCTGTTCCACATCTACTTCACCTCTTCCAGTGTCTGTGGTATTCTGGGGAACCCTTTCTGTGTGAGTACAGACTTAGAGATCCGGCACTTGGTCTTATCCAAGATTGCCAAAATGGGAATGTCAACATCAAAGGCTGGCCTGTTGGTGGGGCCGTGTAAAGTGAAGTTGTGTGCGGCCTGTTTGCAGGATTCCACTTCTGCGTCAGTCAGGTTGGCTAGGGCTTGGTAGCCATCTATGGAGATTGGTGCCGCGTACTTGAACGAGTCCAAATACCATAGTTTGTGTGCGACGTGTTTGCAGTTCCTTTCTGCCCAGGTGTCAGAAGCTACAGGGAGAAAATGGTTGTCCTATGCAAACTTGTGTTTTGCCTGTCGGATCTATTGCAGTAGAAACATTAGCACAGACATTGTTGAGTCTGCACTCGTGCTGCTTTTCCAGATAGTCAATTTCATCTTGATTCAGTCCAATTGATTGTCTTTGTGCCCGTCTCATAGCGTTGAGTTCTTCTGAGGTGTCAATCTCCCCTACCTCATTTAGATGGTCTGTGTTGTAGCCGAATTTCTCCAGGATCACCTTTTCTCCCTTGGCCCTGACTCTGTTGAGTTCCCTGTTCTGTAATCTATTCCTTCTGACAACAGCATTTAGATTCAGTACGTATGCCTCAATGACTCTGTGCATTTTTTTCTGGTTCTAACTGGTATCTCGCACTGATGGCAGCCCAGTCACTAAATGTGAGAGTCTCAATCAGACTGGTAGATTGGGACGCCTGTATTCTGTGCAGAATTTCTCGAGGCAAGGCCATCATCATTAGATGGGAGTGTACAATGGGTGGCTGCACATTGGAGAATGGACCGACGAGGGGTGCCAAGTCTGCGTGCCAACCACGATTGATGATCTCCTGCTCCTGCACAAATTTAACATGCACATGGTCTAGCGGTTAGTACTGATTAGACGGTTGTGGATAGTGTGAGGGCGAGTATTTTCTGCAAAAAATTAGGGGGGGCGGAAAAAAAAAGCGGGGGCGGGGTGGTATCTGTAGACTCTCGGACTAACCTTTTTTTTTTTTTTCAGGGGAATATCCTGCATGATTGATTTTTTTTTTTTTTTTTTTAAGCATGCTTCATTATATATTGAGCAAAAGGAGGCCGGGAATCCCTCCACATCTCAACTCGGAAAACTGGGGCCATTACCCAGATTAGGCTTGTACTGGAAACCGGGTCCAGTGTCCCTTTCTCCTGTCAATCTACATGCTTTTCTTAAACAAAAACCAGACTGGATTAAGAAGAGACAATTATAGCTTCCTACAGACTCAAGGTTTCAATCCTAACTATTTCTTCGTATTGCAATGCTGACCATTTACATCTTGAAGCTATCTCGCCTATACTCCCGCTAAGCCACTTTTTTGTTGCCACTTTTCCTAAACCCTAAACCCTTCTCCACCTGTGTCCCAAAAGCCACCTGTCTAATGTCGCAAGCTCTGATTCTTCTGTGCCTTCTACGCTGAGTTTATGTCTGTCATACTGTTCTGTGATCTCGCTGATTCCAGCGAGGCGAGGTCTGTTGTTGGATCAGACTAACCTTGATTTGTGGACAGAGTCAATCGAGGGTCAAACAGTTCTGCATGTGAGGTCATCCATGGGAGGGGTCAAGAAAGGGCTCGGAGATGAGGTGGGAGTGGAGGTGGTACCAACAGGGATTGATGATGCCCTTTGCCATCGCAGATACATCACCCTCCTCCTCACGGGGCCCCGTACACGGTGGAGGAGGAAGGAATGGTTGTCAGCAAGAGCGAGGGCGAAGGGCATCATCAATCCCTGCCGGTACCACCTCCACTCCCACCTCATCTCCCAGTCCTTTCTTGACCCCTGCCATGGATGACCTCACATGAAGAACTGTTTGACCCTCGATTGACTGTTTTTTTTTTTTTTTTTTTTGGACGGATAGTTTATATCTCCTGAAAAGGAGACACTTACATTCAGGGGCAAGAACTGGGGAGGAACCGTTGTCGAACTCGGGCTCTCCTTTTTCTCCCTCATCCCCTCCCAGGGTCAGACCTTTTTTTTTTATAAAAAAAAAAAAAAAAAAAAAGCACCCCTTCCAGTGTTAGTGATGTTGGTATCAGAGTCAGACCTGCCAGACAGATGGGATCAATCTAGACGATGGATTCTGTATCTCTACAGTCGCAACCCCCATCACCTGGTAGTAGGCCTCGTTAATAGACACCAAGTGTTGCATACCGTATAGGTGCAGACCAGAACAAGAACCGACCTTTCAATACAAAGTATAAGATAGCACAGCGGAAGACTTAGATACCAGTGATCCGAACAATCAATGTTGTAATGCAGCCCTGAACATACATCATCATCATCGTTTCATAGTGTGAATGGGTCTGGCGCTTCACACAGGAAGACAGCGCCAGCCCAGAACATGCATAGACGAAGAGGAAGGGGATAGACGAAGAGGAGGGGGGAAGATGGGAATGTCGTCAACACCAAGTCTTCGGCACAAGCCCAAATAGTCCCTCGTCGAACTGTCTGAATCCCAAATGTCAAGTCTGGATCCAATGTCGTCAAGTCTCAAGTCACAACTCTGTCTCTCTCTGTCGTGGTCTGAGAAGTCAGGTGGCCAGAGGGTGAGAAGAGAAGGTGGACTTAGAAGAGGAAGAAGAAGAACTCTCTCTCTCTCTGTGTCCAGTACTAACCTGTGAAGTTGGCGCCTTGATGCAGGTACCACGAAGATGGAGCTGGAGCGATGGCGCCACAGGTAAGTAACACTGGCCTCCGCCAGTCTCTCTCCCACTCTGCGATCTACTACTTACCAGCACCCAGCGCTGAAGACTACAACTACAGCTATGGCGCCCAGCGCCGAAGACTACAGCTAGCGCTACCACTACTGCCTAGCGCTGAAGACTACTGCTGCGCTCCTCCTGAGTGCTGCGGCCGAATCCTGAAGACTACCTCTGCCTACTGACCCTTTCCTGCAGGGCGGGCCAGTCCTTTATAGTGTTGGCCCGTGCAGGAGGCTGGCCGTGCCAATGCTCCCCTGGCCTAGACCCTACGGAAGCTTCCAGGCAAGAGCCTGGAAGTTCCCTGAAGTTTCCCTGTAGGGAAACAGGCTGGGGCCTGTAGGCCCTGTCAGAAGGAAGCTTCCAGG